AAAGAGAAAACTTTTATTGGCAGCACTATTAGAATGAAAAAATGAGAGCAGTGATTTTTTCTTTTTTCTTGCTTGCACAGTTCAGCAGCATTTGCCAAATCTTTATTCTCTATTGTACTTGATTTTGTAATCTTTCAGATGGTGACAAGCAAGGGAAAATTTAATGGAGCAGGAGCTCTTTCTGAGGGGCATAAGCTTGATGAATGGAATGGAAAGGAATAGGAATAGACTATTTTCGTTGGAAGGCACCAACAACGATCATCTAGTCCAACTGCCTGACCAATTCAGGGCTGAACCAGTTAAAGCATGTTGTTCAGGGCATTGTCCAAGTGCCTCTTAAACACTGATGGGCTTGGGCCATCGACCCCTTCTCTACGGACTGTGTTCCAGTGTCTAACCACTCTCTCAGTAAAGAAATGATTCCTAAGGTCCAGTCTAAATCTCCCCTGATGCAGCTTTGAATCACTTCCTGTCACTGGGTACCAGGGAGAAGGTCTCAGCACCTCTCTCTCCACTTCCCTTACTCAGGAAGCTGCAGAGAGCGATGAAGTCAGTCCTCAGCCTCCTTTCCTCCAAACTCAACAAGCCCAAAGTCAGCTGCTCCTCAGAGGAGCTACTCAGTGAACACAGCTTTCTTTTTATATAAGTTTTGGAATTCTAATAGTATCTCTCAAATTTTCAGTTTAGAGAAGGTGGCAAATCGAAGCTAAATGACAACATGCCTGCCTTAGTTAACCAGACCAAATCCTCCTACTGGTCTGAAGAACCAGAAGAGAGAAATGACTGTGTAATATGTGTAATATATATATAGTAAGTATACCAGTGTAAGCCACTCTGTAGGGACAGTTTTGCTCAGGGTGTCATGGTCATGATACTTAGCTGGGCCTTATTTTCATGTTCTTCTGGTTCCCATCGTGATGGATGTTTCTGTCCCCAGCTGCTTGCCCACCTCCCTTGATGGAGGTGTTTTTACCCTTTAGATCTTTCAGCCCGGCTCTTAGGAATCCAACCTAGTTTCAGAGATGGGTGAGAGAAAATCTAGCATTAAATGCTGGAATAGGTGTATGTTAGTTTTTGACTTTTTTTAAAAATTGTTTTTTAAAAGATTCCCTCTTCTGTAACATCCACAAGCTTGTCTGCAGACAGCCTTAGATAAGCATTCAGTAGCACTGAAAATCAGCATCGGGAGCTATGTTGTGAACTGCAGAAGAATGTGATGAAAAGCTTTGTTATAATTTTTGCTGCTTAAATAACTGCTTTCATTTGCATTGGGATACACAGGAGAATCCTGACATATGGCTCTTGAGGCCCTTTCCAGCTTGTCTGCTTAAACCACTTGCTCTGAAGGCGATGAACCTTCTGCTGCTCCACTCCTCTCTAATGGATAACTTGATGTCTGACCTAACAGCCGTTGTACATGATTATTTAAATACTTACCAGACTGGGTCTGGAGATCACCTTGAGAGCACAAAGGTAGGTTTGCCTTTCCTTGTTTCTCTGGTTAGTGATTTGATCTAAGGATGGATAAACTCTAGAGGAATTACATTTTTGGGTAAGGAACTTGCCTTCCTGCACTATGGAGGAGAACAAGCCCATACAAAGCAAGAAAGCAGTGGTATGGGTGTGCTCTTTTTCTGTCTTCTCAATGAAGTAATTTTAGGAGGGCTTAAAAAAACTATGTAAGAAATTGCCAGTATTAAATTTGGGTGAAAAATGAAGGGTCAGACATCCTCATTCATTGCACAGAGACTGAAGTAAGATGATTAAATCCTGTTACTGCCTCATTTTTGCAGTTGTAAATGTCTTCAAATATTTATTAAGAAAAGAGAACACAGGTCTGTCTTCATGGAAGAAATTGTCTTCTTTGCCCTGGTTTAACAAAGCTCTCAAATACAGACTTGAATCCTTTAGAAATTACTTAAGTGCTCACCAGAGCAGTAAATCTCATTATGTAGGATTTAGGAAAAGATTAGTTCAGATAACCACAAGAGGTCATAGTTGCTTCACAGATGGAGGAGAAGAGGCCATATCTGACAACCTTTTCTTTTTAAAGGAGAGCTGCCAAAAAAAGAAGGTTGTTCATAGTTCATGGAAAAAAACGAGCTTCACATCCAAATTTCCAATGTGAAATGCATGCAAAAGTAAGCATGACACAAGGGAAAAGAACAGTCTGTTAAAGTGAAAAGAATACAAATTCTGGCTTGCATTGGGCTATTTGTTTGTAGAAGTTCTGTGAAGTGGTACTCACACTGCTGAAGCCAATCCTTTTGTAAATCTATGTATTCCATAAGATTAGCCAAGGAATTAATCTGATCCTGAACATTTCAAATGGCATTTTGAAGATCTATTGAATATCACATCTGATATTCATACTGCCTGCAGTTGCTTTAGAAATCTTGTAGTTTAGATAATAAAGTAGCCATTTTTGCTATAATTTCATTGTTAATAATTTTCTGTTGTTTATATATTTTGTGAGATAATGAAAGTTTCTTCTACTTAAAATCATATTAAAATCTTCTGCTTTGTTTAAAATCATATTAAAATCTTCTGCTTTACTTAAAACATATTAAAATCATATTTAAACTCCAAATACGGAGTTTGGGTTAGTTAAATCTGGTCTGTTACTTCAGTTTCTTCACTGAGTAAGTAAACAAAATTAACTTCAAGAGAGTCCTCTGCAAGTTGATGAGTTCAGCTTAATCTGTTTTAAGGAAAAAAAAAAGGCAAAGGAAACAAAAAGCTTTGTTTGTGCAACTTTAGGTTTTCTGCTTAAGTCTGTATTAATTCCCTGAATCAAAAAAACTTTATTCACATCCGATTCTCAGAATCAATAGCCAAAATACTTAATCCCCCCATATTTATACTAGTGCTTTTTCATGGCTATTTAGAAGTTTATCTATCACTGATGTCTGTGTTACGCCTCCTGTGCACTCTGTGGAGCTACAGCTGAAAGTTACGTGGAGGATGCTTTTACTGGACTATTTTACTTTTTACACTGACCAGTTACAATTTAGACTTGTGCTCCACCTTGGGCCCTTGGTGAACAGCCGTCTGCTACCATGAGCTTCACTTCACCTTGGAGCCAGATTCCAACAACAGCAACACTGGAATCCCTGTGCTTGGTGACTGTTCTCCAGACATGATGTGGTGCAGTTCTAAGGGTACTTCAGCAGAAGTAATGAATCTCCTCAGATTCTGAAGTAAATATCCACGCCAGGGAAATATTTTGCAAACCTGAAAGATGTTTTCTGCTATGCCCTCTCCATGCTGGAGAACTGGAAGAGAGGCCTTGGTTGCTGAAGGAGGATTTCAGCAAAGTCAGACAATAAATGCTCCAGGGCCATGAAGATATCTTGCACTACTTCAGCTTCTAAATTGGAAAGTGGACATAATTCCTGAGTGAACAGGAATCATCTGTGGTACATCAAGCCTTTACTTGAAAGCTGTGGGAGTGAAAACTACCAGGCAAAGAAAATCTCCGAGTTACCATGACCTCTCTGATATACAGGCACTTGGAGATGATTAGATCTGGAAAGTGATTTCCATCACTGCAGGTAAGGAAGCATCGTCTGGGCCCCTCTCTGTTCTGTTTTAGTTCTTGGACTGTGCCCTCTGAACAAAACCACCAGGTCTTCAGTCGTTTGACAAAGGAAAAGATAGTTACATAGACATGACCTCTCCTGTGCCTCTGAGCTACAAAAGCATTTGAGTACATTGTACCTGACTAGAGCAGTGAACAGAGCTATGCTTCCCTGGCTTAGTCTCGTTTCTTCTGATCTTATTGAGTGACACCACATCACACAGAAGAAGTCACTTGTTGAATCTCATCTCCTGGATCAGGGTGTACAACATTGAACTTCAGCTTGGACTAGCATGGTAGCATCCTCCTAATCTTGACAAAAGAGAAGTGTGAACAAGGCTGATGAATGCAATTGTCACCACTCCTCCTGGGGCTCTGTATGCCTAGTCTCTGTGGTCAGTTTTCCACATGCATCCTGTTCCTCACTGAGAAGTTTCTGTATGCTCTAACAGGCCCATACGAGTTGCAGAACGCAAAATCACTTTCTCGCTAAATGCACAGCTCCTACTAGGGTCAGATCATGTACAAATCATGCTTGATTTCAGTCATGCTTAATTGCATGTACTTTTGTGTACTTTGCCTTTGCTTCTTGAACATGCATGACTGGACAGACTGGATCGATGGGCCCAGGCCA